GTTTTCACCGGCCAAATCACACTGATAATCGTCTGCCATGAAAATATTTACAATCTACAGATAGCTGGCCATTTTGATTTTCTCTGTTAGATAAGTGCGAACACTCGAAGACTTATCTCAATCCAAACACAATTCTCATTATTTTTTTCACTTTGATGGATCGAATTTCAAAATATTTGGTAACACAATCCGTTAGTCTGACAAATTTTCAAAATGGCGTCCAAGAACGTGACCAGGACGTCTGCTCCAATCTTGTGAAATTCGACACCTTTGTTAATTTTTAAACAGAAAACGAAGCAATAATGATATGATTGAAATAAAATTTTAATTTACCTGATAGGAAATTTTATTATCCCAATTCTATCAAAACCTATCTGATTTTATTCCCTAGATAAAGTTTTACTAACTGGCGTGATAAGATATTAAGCCGCAATAAAAGGAGGCGGGGCCTAATTTGAAATTCAAAATGGCCTCTATTGTGTTCAAATTACTGTAGCCACACCTTCGTGAAATATGATACTTGTACGTGGATAGCTATTTCGTTTTCTGGTTCGATTTTAAGGTAAATTTATAGGGAATTTGCAATTTAATTTGTAGTATTGCTGATTATTCTAAAGAAATGAAACACAATAGACGATTAGGGGGATGAATATTGTATGTCATCGGAACATTATTGCTCCTGAATGAACCCCATTTTTCGCTTCTCTAAATAATTTTAGAGCCCGCTGAAAAGTTATATTAATAATTCAACATTGATAAATATTATTAGCTCTTTAAATTTTTTATTTATCCCTCTTTCTTATAAAATTAGGACATTCTTGTGGAATAAAAATACGTAAAACTCTAAAATAATTATACAAAACAGATAGTCAATATCGCTCAGTAGTTTATGCTTTGAATACTATTATTAAAAATATTGAGAAAAGTAAATATTATATAGTAAAAATTTAAACATTTTGCCCAAAATCTTTAAAAACTATTTTATTAAAATGTGTCACTTCTAAAGGTAAATTTTCTCTACATATTTGAGTTGTTGGTGGTTAACAGAAACCTACAATAAAATACAACACTGCTAAAATCAATAGACCAACCGTAAACTTTTTATTTGACATGAGAGTTTTATTGAAATAATTTCGTTGCCATAATTCATTCCCTGGTAGTCACGGATGTTTATTACACTTAAAACTTCAATAAATATAATAAAAACTGAACTTATGGGCTCCCTAAAGACACACTGACTTTTTCAACGAAATGTAGTTTTTATTATTATTTTATTATGTATGTTTTGATATTTAAATTCTGTTTAAATTTGTAAATTACAATGAAAATTTATTTATTTATTTATTTATTTATTTATTTATTTATTTAAATGAAAATTAGTTGCAATGAAATAAATGTATTGTTAAGAAATAACGCATGGAAGTCATTCTATTCTAGTCATATTTCATCTACAACCATAAATATTTTATCATATTATGAATTTGAATAACGAGGAGATAGTAATTTCAATTAGGAATAATTTTGTGATCAGTTAATAAATATCAAGGTAATAAAGAATACAATTTCATCAGTAATATTTTACATGACTCAATACCTGATTTATTTAGCTGTTTATTACTTGGTTTTCGAATGTTTATTGGGTTTATCAAATAATTTAGTAAATGGCATAAATTAATTTTGAAATCGTAAAATTATATCAGTGACTGTTAAATAATTCTCAAGGTTATTTTGAAGTTAAAAACTCGTGTTCTAGGTCGTCTGTGATAAATGGATTCGCCATGCTTACCAGTCGGTCCTTCTGTACGCCATATTTCATTGTTATAATCCCCAACATTGGAACGTTTTGTTGTCAGTGGTTTCTCCATTCGTGTATCTTCTATTGTTTAGAACCTTAACACCATGGGCCACTCTACCATCAAAGAAGTATCCTGTGAGATATATCTCTACCGTGATCTCATGTAAAACGCCAGCGTCTGAACATTCAAAGAAGGGAAGATATTATTCAAAACTCCAAAATGTATTGTAATAAAGCACTGTCTCTTTGTGCTGCTTACAGTTGGTGGTCGTGAGGTACCCTCATACATCAGCCTCCATGGCTTGGTAAGAGGTGAAGCGATCCAGAAAGATACTCATTCACACACACTCCATTGTGTTGTGCTTCAGTGTTGGTTCTTTGACACCCTCCATGACCAAGAAGGAGATCCAAAATCCAGATCAGCAGATGCAATCCTATAGCCCGTGTCTTGGAAGGAAAGAGATGACATGTTCGAGAACAGCAGAACACACTGGCAAATAATCCATTGTTTACATGTAGCGTTTTCCATTGATGGATTCTTTAGTGTCAAAACGGTTCCAAATATCTTCGTGATATCAGCCGATCCAGTTGACCTGTCAGAATAGCAACATTGATATCCTTCTCCCAATAATCCATCGTTGATTCTTGACGGAATGGTTTTCAAATCTATGGGAAACCTGACGTTGAGATGCAGAAGACCATAGACCCGCTCATATTGTCGGAAGAACAACTTCCATATCCTACTTCATGGTGTCAAGCTTAGACGATGTTTTGAACATCTATAAAGCAGTCGACGCGATCCAGAGATTAGAGAAGCGATCCTACTGTCGGAAGAGCAATATTTAAAGTGACAAATTATCTAAAACCTTATCCCTATCTTAGACCCTAAAGATTAGAGAAAATTATACTAGTACCAGCGATAAATCATTGGAGATCATAAAATCTCTCTGATAACATGACTATCTATTCTTCTATCTGTCTCGTACTATCTCTCATTCCATATCTCCCCTCCCCTCCCTATCAGGTCTTCCCTATCAGGCCGGGCTATCACCCATTCTTACCTATCTCCCTGATTCCCTATCTGATCGACCTACCTGCGGTATTGATTAATCTTCACTAAAAACCAACGACGCTCTCACCTTGGCAATATCCATATTGAATACGCCAACCTTTGACCTTGTTTTACTCCGCCTGTTTCAACTTTGACCTCCTTATTTGCATAAAATTTGAGTAAATTTTTTTCTGTTTTGAAATCTAGATTAATTTTTTAAATGCTAGAAAAAAAATCATTTACATACCTTGAACGATTTTACGTATGTGTATACATTTAATGTACACGAGAACGCGGACCTCGAAGAGAGCACTAGTTGTGGAAGCGCATGATGCATAGTGATGCCGAAGTTTCTAAAAAACTCCTACATGACATACCCATTTTACATACCCGTTTTTTTAAGCGTAGAATTATCAAATTGTTATTTTCCATATTGCGGACCTCGGAGGAAGCACCCGTATGTCAAATATAAGGCGTTTCTATGAAATAAGGAGCTCTTCTGGGCCTTAAAAACAATTTTTTTGGTGAAAATTTTTAAGAACATTATATGGTATATTATTCGGCTAATTTTGAAATATTTTTCATGAGAATTCTCGCCTCATCTCAATTTCAAATCACCAATTTCCGCTGGTTGATTTTAGGAGAATTATTGGAATTTGGATTGTGATTCCCTTTAGGAATTATTGGATGTATTGTATGATGGCTTCGTTCCCTTTACCAACTGTATTTAGTCCTGACATGTTTTAAAAACTCTCGAACTTTGTTTCAGATAACGGAGACCAACTGATCATGTCCCAGACCAGGGAGTGTGTAAACAAGGCTTCTGTATCAACATATAAATGGACGAAAGATAAGATAAACCAGAACGTGATCGCCTGATAATATTCTGGAAATAGTCTAGACAATATAAATGCAGGCTGATACAAGGTAAATAAGAGCTACTTGCCAATAATGTAAGGTATAAAGGGTGGGGGGTCGGACTGTTAGTTCAAAAAAGTACAGATGTGATAGTAGAAAAGATGCACGTACATTTCATCAGCCCAATAAGAATCAGAACAGTAGAATGTGAACCTTTCTTTCGTTTTCCTTTTCCTACATCAAGATCAATGCAGAATCAGAATATTTAGTCAAATTAGTTAAATTATAAGAACCCACGGACGTAAAGCTCCATGGTATTTCATTAGCCCAGCATAATACAAGACAAAAGAACCATATATGCTTTATTATTGCATATGATATGTTTTTATTATACAGTGTTTATTAACCAAGTCAATTTCACTACCAATACACTACATAGTACCACAACTCAGATCCATCTGTTCATCTTAGTTCACCGCGCCAACCACCTTGTATTTAATTTACACATCCGATAAGAATCATGATTTTATCTGAAAGAGTTGTCTTATCTTAGCTTGTGACAAAAGCATCTAATCTATCTGGGACAATGACTATGTTTTTACCGTGAACATGTCATATGCAAGTTTGATCAAGATTTTTTTTAATAATAATGATGTTTGATAATGTTAAATTTGACTGCATCTTACGACACTCTACTGTGTAGGATACATTGACTCTGGTGAACACGATCATAGATTAAGGGTCAAATGTCTAAGTCTCAAACATGAAATTCGTCTCAATACACCTCAATACCTTATTCGAAAAGTAAAACGACTCTTGTCCAAAAAAAAACAATCCATAGCTCATTGTGCTCATTCCATTCACGAGGTGCCGTGGGAAGTGGCTTTGCCTCTTTTGTCTTAGGATGACCGTAGCCATCTGACCACTTTGTCATTGGCGAGTTGATATATCGAGTAGCCTTGTCCGAAGATAAGATCCCTGCTGCCACGTGTGACAAATCGCGGACTATTATCCTAGCGAGCCATACCAGAAGATAAGACAGGCCAGTATTGGTATGTATTAAATATAATTGTGTCAAAAGACTGTGGTTGCTCCGAAAGCAAGATGTTCCATCCATGCATTGATCGATCATTGTTATCACTAAATAAGCTTATATGGGCTTTTCAAAGGTGCTTCTTCGGATGCGGTAATAATTGCGGTGAAGCTCAAGCTAAGCGTGAATTCAATCTTCTCTGTTGATTTAAAATGTGAGGTTTTTTAGAATCATGCCCATGTATAAATCTTATTACAGACAATATGAAGGTCTTCTGTTTGATCCTTTGTGTTTGTTTAGTGGCTTCTCAGGCAAGCCATCTTGATGGTATGTACTCTTTCAAATAGCTGTTCAACCGGAAGTAGTATACATTCTACCGATACGCATGTCTAGAACTGTCCTTCACAGTCTACTGCACGCGAGGTTAAAGCGTTGTGTCCATTTCAGTAAAGTACTTATCTGTCATTAAAAGTAGTAACACTTCGTGAACATGTAACTCGGGTATTTTCCTCCATTGATTCACTATATTCTTCAATTCTTTGTTGTCTTTGTTACAGAGAGGTCCATCGAAGTGAGATCAGCGTTGAGTAGGGTTCAGCACTTCGTCCATAATGCAATGTCCGTAGCAATCAGTGGTTGTCAACTAGTATCCACGTTCGTCAATGCACCAGTGTGTGTAGCAATGGGTATAGTGCCGGAAGCCAAGGCATTAGAGGCTTGTGGAGTGTACACAGTAGGGTTTCAAATCTGTCATGCAGTCGTGGAAGGAGTCAGGACCTACTGCTCTCAATATGGAACAAGTCTTCCTGGTGGTGATGCTGCCAACAAGATCATTTGTGAAGCTGTTCAGAGGAAGGGTTGATTTTCTGAATAAAAATTCTGATGATTTAGTTTCTTAAGATGCATTGCGTGCCTTTTTATGTCCTTTTGTTTTAAGTCGTGCCCCTTCATTAAAGTCCTTGAAATAATGTCTAAGGAATTCTGTAATGCAACTACTGTCCGAACTATACTGCTTAATAACTTAACTTAGATATTTCTAGATATTGCCCTAAGTAAATTTGCTGGTTGACGTCAAGATTGGACGTCAAGTAACGTGAAGATGACACCGCCAGCCGACGTCAAGATGACCTATGATAGTAATTTTTATGATAGTCGGGTATAAATTTAAACAACCAGAGAAGCTAGAAAATATTTATTCATTTTTTGTCTTCATTCAAATGTTTTTGGATGGCACTACACATTATGCGGTTGGCGTCCTCTCCTCGTCGTAGAGAAGGTCCCAGTATTCTACAGTAATCCCGGGCGCCTTCAACCACTCCGAGACAACAGTGGTACCCAGCCTGGTTTCTGAAAACACGACAAGACAGCAGCTCGAATCGGTCTTCTATTGCAGCTAATGATTTGCAGACAGTGGGTGTGACGAATTCAGTTGAATTGGCACATCCAGTTCCGTTTCCTCCTGATTCTAAAGTTGCTTGGAACAAAAACTGTTGGGCAATAGAATAGTTGGACCGAGAAAACGATCTTGCTGTAAAACAATGAAGAATACATTAGAAAGGGAAGACCTTGGAGAAGGGTATAATGAGGATGCCTTAAGTATCGAAAATATGATGGAAGGAAGTGTCCAATCCGAAGATCAAGACGCATTTCCATGTCAGCATTTAGACCCGCAACACAGAGGGACGGAAATATGTTTGAATCAATGATGGTTGTAATTAAGAAAGCTAGGTCTATTTTGATTGGTTATGAGGGGAATGGGGCGCTTTCACCGCATGTAATTATTGTTTATATGTTCACATGTTTTTAGGATTCAAACTGCAGATCTGTTAAAATAATATTTAAGACTATCTTACCCCCTATGTTAGTGGTCTGTAGAAGAACCACAAAAACAACAATTCCAAAAAATAGAGTCTTCATCGTTGCTGAAAAAGGAGAAGGTTTTGAATTTTAAAGTTACGTTGGCTTGATTAAAAGTATTAGTAGTAATCCACAGCTGAAATAATTGACTTCACTGTGATCCAATGGGGGATCTTAGATGTCCAATTTTCCATTCCACTAGAGTAATTGAAGCCGTGCATGATAATCTGTACCGTATGTTGGTCCGTTCCACGCCTTTTGTGGATTCAAATTGGTTGAAATTTCGAAGTGACAAAGTTACTAAAGTGCACTGGGAATGCGTTCACATATTTCTGATTAGTATAAAGCACAAAATATGACAAAACTTACCTATGTTCTGTTTCCTTTCAAAAATGATTATGAAATAATTTGTGTTCTGTTTTATATAATGTCGTCGCTAGGGTCTTCAGCTATGTGTCAATAACACATTGCAAAATATCAACAATACGAAATTCTAGTACAAATATTGTAATGTTTTAATTGACACGATTTAACGATGCTGACACGTGTTTCTGATATTTAATCCTCATCAGGAATATGGATGGGTATGTTTTTATTGGCTGCAAATGGAGAAAGTACTATTTATTATTACATACATTTATAACTACATACAGTAATCACTATACAGTATATAAAATAGCCATTTTTGTAAATTAAATACATTAGCTCTTATTTTGACATTCCGTTGAGCATGCGCAATTCCGGTATTTCGCTGCAATATGGTGGCCTTATAACGTCACGATGTGTCGTTGCTAAGATACTAAATTTTTACAACGTTACAACCAATCATCTCACGAAGAATTTTGAATTCTAAAATGGCGATTATCTCAATCAGGAAACAGTGAAAAAAGTATCTAAGTGCCTGGATGTTCAGCGCTGATGTCGCGGTTATCCAGTTATCTAAGCACTCCTTGTTAATCTACTTAGATAAGACTATTTAAATCCCAAACCATTCAAGATTTTTCAACCAAACACAGGTGGGTGATATTTTCTAAATTTTCTTTTCGTTTCCATATTGGTAGCTTAAGAACTGGTGAACAGAATAATATGCAGGAAGAGATTAGACTTTAATCCAGCTCACCTTTCCCATTACTTCCAGGCATTTCTAAACAGTTCCTTGTCCTAATTTAGTTGCCATATGCACAGCATTGGCCTTCACAGGAGCATCTTCACAATGTCAAGCTATAACGAACAACGGTTACAATTGCAGTCAAGGTAGGCTATAAGTACGAAGTTCGTAATAGCTTGACATCGTCAAAACATTCTGAGGGGAGCAAACCAGGAATTACCTGCTTGGTGTTACTGTACCTTTGCCAGGTTTGCATTTCTAGCTCTGTTGATACAGGTTCACAGACCAACGTCTGTTTAAATTTAAAGTGAAATAGGTCGACAGAAATTCTAGATAAATTAAATACAATATTTAAAGATTAAATCAAATACTTTATTTACCGATGTCATTATATCTTACGTCTGTGTCTTTCATCATGGAGTATAAGGTATTTTTAGCTGACGTGGCATAGAAAAGAATACAAGGGTCCAAAGTCTTATTTGGTCATTTTAAATCATTCTTTTGGAACGACTGGCAAGGGTAAGTCGCATAGTCTGGTAGAATTAGAAGAAACTTGGTAGGATTTACATTTGGAGGAACAAATTGAATTCTGGGAGGGAGTCGAACCAAGTCTCTTGTGATTTGAGGTGCATCCCAGGGACATTGCTGTTATTGCATTTATTTGATCCATTTATTATTTGTTTCAGAAAGAGTGTGTCAAGATGAAGTTGCTGCTATCCATAGGACTTGTTGTCCTTGTCTCCTACCATGTTCACGGTTAGCAAGACTTTTCCTTACTCTCTATTATATTGATATTCTGATCTTTGTCAATTTGGTATCTCCACTGCGAATGTACCTCGCTCCTTGTGAAAATGCCAATTAAAGTGTTTCCAGATGATAAATTGCGTTTGAGACTCTTCATCATTGAGGTTTATTTTGACGTTGCTGATTCTTAATTGTAGGTGCCACAACAAAAGCTTTAACTGATGCCCAAAGACTCCAACAGTTGGCTACAGCAACATCTAAATTCTCTCTGGATTTGTACAACAAATTTTCCATCAAAAATAAGAACTTGATCATCTCCCCCTTCAGCGTCTTCACTGCCTTGGCGATGGTCTCTCTTGGGTCCAAAGGACAGACGATGGACGAGATCTACAAAACCTTGAACATCCAGCATCTTGGCGATGATGTCCACCAAGCCTTCCATTACTACACTAGCTTATTGCAAGGCTTGACAAACGTGACTTTGAACAATGCCAATGGTATGTTCGTGAAACCAGGAACGCAACTCTTACCAGAATTCTCCAACAAAATGAAACAGTTCTACGATGCCAAAGTTCAAGAATTCGATTTCAGCAATCCCAAGGGCCCAGAGGCTCCAATAAACGACTGGGTGTCCAAGCAAACGGCTGGAATGATCAAGGATTTCTTGAAACCGGGAAGTGTCGATGGAAACACTATTATGTGGTTGATCAACGCCATCTATTTCAAAGGTCGGTAACTTAACTTAACTCTGAAGATATCGAGAAAAAGAAACGGTATCAAAAACTGCAATAATTTGAATGTTATCTGAATTTGAAAAGTAGAAGACTTATTCTTGTAGGATAAGTCCTCTCAGCAGTTCTCTTTCGGTCTCTCCACATATAGCTATGTCTAACTTAAACCAATATTTTTATTCCAACATTTCCAGGCACCTGGAAGAATATCTTTAATGAACGATTGACCAGAAAGCAGAAATTCCACGTATCCAAGACAACTCAAGTAGATGTGGACATGATGACGCTCAGTGAGAAGATGTTTAGGTATAAGAGACTGGATAACCTTAAAACAACTGTCATGGAACTCCCCTACGTTGGAGATAGATACAGCATGTACATTCTACTTCCGGATGATATTGAAGGGTTATCTACTCTTGAATCAAGCCTAGATGCCACCAGTTTGGAATCAGCCTTGACTAGTAAGTATAGACTGATTTTAATATTTAGTTTCCGAAATATTTCAAAACGTTACCATATTCCCGCCATCTATTTTTCTCGGCCATTTTGTACTTTGACGTCACTTCCTTAACAACGACGACATAAGTAAGTACAGTTCATATATTTTGAAAAGTCTGCCTTAAAGCTTCGATACAGTGTACTGTGTGAATATGTTCTTTGAATAAACTCTTACAAGGCCCTGGTGTTTTCTTTAAATATTAAAATTTCAGATCTGGATAAGCGAGACTTCTTTACTCTCGGTTTACCAAAAATAAAAGTTGAGAACAAGTTAATGTTGAAGTCGGCCATTCAGGAACTGGGAGCTCAAAAACTGTTCGATTCTTCCAGTGCCGATCTGAGTAAAATGACTGGAAGAACAGATCTTTACGTAGGCGCGGCTATCCAGCAAGCTGTAATTGAAATTAATGAACGAGGAACTAAAGCAGCAGCTGTAACTGGGTTCGGCATCCATGCCTTGGTGATGATTCAAACACAACATGTGACTATGGACAAACCGTTCATGTTCGTTCTAAGGGACACAACTGCTGGAGTGAATCTATTCCATGGACGGTACACAGATCCAAGGGCCTAAAGGTTTTCTGTCAAATGCCGACGTCTTGATAACAAAGGCTGATCTTGTTGTTTTGCCAAATCTTCCAATAAATACATTTCACCAAATTTTATTCGTTCTTTTGAATGACACAGGCCTATAGTGGATACTGGTGTGTGTGGTAGTCGCGTTGCTTCTTATGGTCTTCTCATAGAAGAATATTTTTGTATTCACACCTGCCACCCTTTATTCATTTTCAGATCTGGACAAGCGAGACTTCTTTACTCTCGGTTTACCAAAAATAAAAGTCGAGAACAAGTTGAAGTTGAAGTCGGCCATTCAGGAACTGGGAGCTCAAAAACTGTTCGATTCATCCAGTGCTGATCTGAGTAAAATGACTGGAAGTACAGATCTTTATGTAGGCGAGGCTATCCAGCAAGCTGTTATTGAAATAAATGAACGTGGTACCAAAGCTGCAGCGGTGACTGGTTTCGGAATCTTTACAAATTCCATCATTCTTTCACAGCATCTGACCATCAACAAACCGTTCATGTTTGTTCTCAGGGACATGACTGCTGGAGTGAATCTTTTCCATGGACGGTACACCGATCCGCGAGAATGAGCGAAGAGTTAGCTTCCAGTCTTTAGAAATAAAATACTTCATTGTTACTCTCTTCTTGAATTCTCAAAATCCTTTTCTATCGCCATGTTTGTACGACACAAGACCCTTGACTTCCGACCTCAAGATTGGAAGCCACGTTTATCTCTCACTTTGACACTTATTAATGGAAGTCCTTCGGTTTTATTCACCATGGAATTGGAAAAGGGTCTGGTCGAAAAGACGAATAGCCGAAGCCTCTAGTCCAAACTTAAATGTTACGACAGTGTGTTTAGGTCAATTCCAACACTCTGGCCTGCCCTTGCTGCACATCTCAAGGCGCTGTCGTTGCCAATGGCACTCTAGGGGTACCTGCAGCTGGAGATAATCTTAGGAACTCCCATCTACTTTCAGGTATGGATAAAATAACAAGGTTCATCATCACCATGCCTAAATTCTCATTGGGAAGCAGCCTCAAGTTGAATCAACCTCTACAAGACCTTGGCTTAAACAAAATCTTTGATGGGCGTCAAGCCGATTTGTCGGGTATTACTGGAAAACAGAATCTAGTGGTAAACTCGGTCATCCAGAAAGCTGTTATTGACGTCACTGAATCTGGAACTCGCGCAGCCGCAGTCACTGGTATCGGCATTGTCCTGACGTCGTCGGTTCATCTACCACCACGTTATCTCCGTATTGATCATCCGTTTATGTTTGCGATCAGAGACAAGCAGACCAACACTAATCTGTTCATGGGAAGATACACCGATCCTAGATCTGCATAAGGACAACATTTTGCTTCTGCTGAATATAATGAATGCTTAATAAATCCTTCATTCTTGATCACATTCGGCTTTGAGTGAACATCACAAGAAAACAATAAAGCAAAGTCAACTCGGATTTTCTTCGAATGCTGCGTCATTTGGGCTTACCCTCAAGAAGTGGTGGAGAATATCTGTTTCCAAGGCGAATCTATAGTGTCCGTCCTTGAATGCGTTTGAATGAAGCAAAGAGACTATCATAAGAGAATCCGTAATATGTGCGAGCGTCTGTAATGGAGGACCATATTCAGAAAGAAACACCCAAACGTTAGCTAATGAATCTCCAAAAAGAAAAACAAAGTTTGGCAAAAAACAGCCGCATGGATGAAGCATTAAGCAAGTTTCTCTTTTCCAGATTTGAAATTCGACACCATTTACAAAGTTTTCATGCCGAGATTCAACATCAGTAGTAGTATGGATCTGATCGACCCTCTCAAAGATCTTGGCATCCAGTCCATGTTTGGTGGAAGAGCGGATTTGTCTGGGATCACTGGAACACCAGGACTATATGTAGACTCGGCCATCCAGAAAGCTGTATTGGAAGTGAATGAACGAGGATCTAGAGCCTCGGCTGCAACTGGTTTGGGAATCTCGAGAGGAATGATAATGCTGAACCCACGACTTGACCTCAGCCATCCATTTATGTTCGTCATTCGGGATGTCACAAACAAGATGAACCTCTTTGTGGGAAGATTCTCTGATCCAAGATCACAATAAATTTTAATTTTTTTGTGTCATTATGTATCCCATTACATGATCCAGAGTTGCTGTAGATCCCTTTCATACCTACATACTCTTTCTGTAGACTCTACTATCATACAACCTCAAAGGAAGCCTTTGAGACCTGGCTTTGCCCACCCTTTTTATAATGATATAAGAGAGTGGTGTACTCCGTAGTGTACGGTAATATCACTCAGGGCAGTTGGGCTCAAAGTTCTGCCGAAGATTACTTGCTACCTGAATTCCACAAAGCAAAGCACGTTTTCGTTTGTGCAAGTACTTAAAAAAGTCATCTGAGTTTTTTTTTGCTGCAGTTGGTACTTCGGTTTATTCATATTGTCCTGCATCGGTATACAATGAACAGTGTGGTGTTCGCGGGAACATCAGGAATACCCTATCTCACCTATACCACTTCTGTTCTCATTTTCAAACTATGTTGCTTCTCTTCCAGAGCTGAATTACATGCAGATGTTCGACCTGTCTTTACCAAAATTCAAACTAGGATCTGAAGTGACTTTAAACTCGGCTCTACAAGAACTAGGCATTAAGCAACTGTTCGGATCCGCTGATCTTTCTGGTATTACTGGACAACAGGGATTAAATGTAGATTCGGTTATCCAAAAGGCTGTATTGGAAGTGACCGAGAAAGGAACGAAGGCAGCTGCTGTAACAGGGATCGCTATTGTCGAGATGGCCTTCTCTCTGAAGACTGTAACCGTCAACCATCCATTCATGTTCGTTCTACGTGACATGAAGACCAAAACTAACCTCTTCCTGGGCAGATACACCGATCCACGATCTACATAGTCCAGTACGAATGATTAATAAAGTTATTTCTGATATTGAGTGTGATTTTGTTAATAACGACTACTGGCGAAGCTCTTGTCCGTTTACAGTGTCTCTTAATGACCCCTCCTATCTGGATTGGCACGTCTACAGATGGTCTTCAACTGCTTAAGTTGGTTTCATGCTATGCCAATGCGGATATAGCGATCGCCTGCTTCCATCCATTGGAGGAACTGATACAATTAATCCTTCTACACCCATTGCATACATTCATTAGCGGTAAAAAAAATGAAATTCATGAATGCCTGTTTCCATGAATATTTTATGTCTTTTTCAGACTTGAATGATCGAGACTTTTACAGAATCTCAATGCCGAAACTGAAAGTAGAATCTTCTACCCAATTAAAAGACGTGTTACAAACACTTGGTATCAACAATATGTTTGATTCGGTGAAAGCGGATCTAAGTGGAATGACTGGACGACCGGATCTTTATGTAGACGGGGCTTTCCAGAAGGCCGTGATAGAAGTAACTGAAAAGGGCACTACTGCTGCGGCTGCTACTGGATTTCAAATTGTTTCCAAGTCTCTCTTTATGTCTAAATATCTTAATGTTAACCATCCTTTTCTGTTTGTTTTGAGAGATCAAACAGCCAATGTTAATGTTTTCATGGGCAGATTCAGTGATCCGTCCAGCTAGATTTATTATTAAACAGTTCTTTGCTTGCTCGTTGTTTTTTTTGAGTTAGAGAATTGATTGGCAGGTTAAACAAAACAACATTGGATCATTGCTTTCGTTTAATGCTCGTCAAATTTGATAAATGAAGGGGAGATAACAAGCTTTAATGTTTACAAATTCAGATGAGTAAATGCAAGGGATAATGAACCTTTCCATTGTGTTTAGTGGATGAAGCCCCAGCATCGTCATGCAGTGTGAAATGAGGGAGACTAAGAGCAAACATGACCATTTAGGAACCTTCAACGACTATCTCAAAGGTTTTTAAAAGGTTCAACGATAGTCAGTACTTCCTTGCCATGCCCGCACTACCTGAATTAGTTGCAGGGCATACTGGGTTCAAAAGGGGCGATGTACTGGGACTCGCTTTCAATACTTCCATTCTACTGAAGCTTATTGTTCTGGGAATTATAAAAGGGCATACTTAGTTACAACGAAGCGGAATATCTGTTTACATCGGGTGAAAATAAAACAATGAATAATTGACACAAAACAGCCTTTTGTTTTAACTCGGGAACAATTTTAATTGGTCGATTCATCTCTTTGGTAATGAGGCACAGTTGACCTTTGACACGGTTACATTTAAAGGTCAAGTTTTAATGACGCAGTAAATATGACACGTGACCTATAAGGGCGGGGTTAATGTAAGTTGGAAGGACGGGTTATTGTTTTATTTGTATTTTATGTACTAGCTGGTAATTATGTTTCTGCCAGGCGAGTCGCAGACGAACAATAAAACCACTTTTGTTTTCTCAGTCCGCCCAATTAAATGAGTTGCCATAGTGATTTATTTTGTATACTTTTCCTCATTAGCAGACGTGAAGTCGAGAAAGGTCACGTGATCTACAATTAAAGGGCTTTGTGTGGACGTGTAAGTGTAAATTTGTTTCGAAATCGGACACAAAAGTCTTTTGTTATCAGAAATGGTATTTTTTTAGATGGGCAATATAGGATTCTATATTGGAAGCACTGGTCGATGTTTCGAGGGAAGAGGGTAGTAATAGACAAATAAGTGATCAACATCTGACAGAAGCATAGAACAGAGGTCAATATCTTTTTGGAGTTACCATAAGACATTGGCCGTTGCATCATATTCGTTTCTGGTCTTTGGTGGTATTCAAATATAAATAAATGTTACAAATTGAGCTATCACTGGTGCGAGAAAACTGATTGGTTTCTGTGAGGTCCGCTGACTTTCAGTAGACGAGTTACCTCCCTTGACAACTAGATTTCATTGTTTTTAAAATCTTGGTTACAAATTTTGAAATTTAAATCTATCATCAAGCTAGAGAAGAAAAGATAAGAAAAATAATTTAGTAATTCAGCTGCAGTTCGACGCCATAAACCTTCCCGCCTTATCTTCAACATGGCGGCTTACATAGATAACGTTAATTCACCAATCTTGTTGCGAGATTTTAACACTTCCGGAAGAGATGGAAAGACGAGAATGGACTCCTAGAATTCAGCATGATCTAGTCTCGGTTTCAGGAACAGTCTGGCCCCATTCTATGGGTTTTGGTGTGTTTTCTTCAATGAGTTTAATGCATAAACGTTGTTTTTCATTTCCAAATGAAAGATTACTGTCGTCATTATCCCCAAACCCTTTGACTTATTTTAGCGTTATGTTCCACGCACTTGCCTGTTTTTCAGTCATTATTTTACTCTACCGTCTAAGGGTTCAATGGGGATACAATAGTGACGTATTTGAAACGCCAATTCCAGCCGTGCCACACTTGATAACATCAATCAAAGTCGACCGTGCATCAATCAAATCTGGCCATAAACCACAAATACCGTTATTCGTACACTTGTAAATTTAATCGGACATCGAAATCAGATTTGTTATTTCGTTAAAGTCAGTCTTTAGATAACGAATTTGACATCTCCATTTTTAATTGTCATGGTTACGATAAGCTTGAAATACCAAACATTGTTTCTTTTGATAAAGAGTCGGTAAAGGGAGGTAATGAATGGAGTTTGATAAATGAAGGATTTGACCAAACGGTTTGATGAAGATATTCTCAGTCAACTGACATTGGAATATACGAGAGGATATTGGGTTGATAAATTCAAATGGAGTTTTACGTCCTACTGTTCTGTTTCTTATTGGACCAATAAATTGAAATTTGGTTTATATCCTACTGTTCTGTACCTTATTTGGCTGATGATATGGAATATGGCTTTATATCCTACTTTAGCTATACATTATGCCTTATATTGCCAATGAAAGGAAACGGAGTTTTACGTCCTACTTTTCAGCTTTCTGCTATGACAGTGTGCAAAGAGTGTATGATATACATGTATTGATGCTTTTTATTGCAGGCACCAAAACCCATTTAAAGTAATAATAATGGTCAAGTGGGCGTGGTTACATCAAAGAAACGAGATGATGGGCGTGGTGAACATCAAAGATACAAGGTAGTGGGTGTGGTCAACATTATCAGATGATGAAAGATAGAATATAATACGAAATGAAAGGTTAGTTATTGGTGATTTATTATAACGATGATATCAACAGTCAGGTACGTGCTTAAACACGTGCATGATGTCTGGTGTAATTATGAGAAGGTTGTTAATTAATAGAGTCGGGTATTTACCTAAAGAGAAAGATGAGATAAGATATTAACACCTATCATAATCTTAATTTCACTATCAAACATCCAAAATCATTTAATTTAGTACTCTCACGTCCATCTTGATTTGTTTTGATGTGTTTAAAGACGTGCACCGCCCAATTTTTATGGTACCAAGATGATTATAATCAGGCGAATGAATGGTGTACTTTTACTATGTCCTTTACGGTAAAGACAGAAGAAGGTTGCTGACAGTTGCTTGAGATGTAGGTACAGGTACGGATGCGGATTGGTGGCTTTTTGAAATTCACTGTTTCCTTTGTCTCGAGTTATTGTGAAAATTTTTTCTGACATAAATTAATCTTCCGATCAACGACCATTTATTTTGATAATAAATCAAAAGCCTACTAGATCGGTCGATTCAAATATATCACTTTCATAAACGTGAAACGAAACAACAGGTACATCGTACTAAATGTAGAACCAGAATAAATAAGAAACGAAGATAATTTATTGGAATTATATGGCATATAGAATATTTTAGTGGAAGGAGCATGACACTTGTGAGAGATAAGATGTGGTGGAAGATTACTCTCGGTTGATCAAGTACGCGCCAAAAAACAAGACTATTCGTCTGCATCTGAAGCAGGCGTCTGCCTCTATCTGATAAACTTTCGCGCCATTTATTATATAGTCTGAACAAATGAGTCACGATAGCTTTGGTTGGTAGCTAGAAATCGAATGCATGGGACATAGTTGGATAAGTGTTGACTATTTGTCTGTATGCTTCTTTTTTAATGTCCAAACTCCTTATGCTAAGAGTTGCTATGTTCATCGATTAGCATTGCTGGTCCACTGTGGCGCCCTCAAAGGTCTTAAAGAATAACCGTTTTGTCTCCAGATTATAAACTGTTAAGTTGGAGCTGTGTGGTCTGGTGTCTTATCTGGTACATTCTTTTCAATCTTTGGTTTATCACTAACGAGGCATTCGAGCTGTTTGACACAAAACACACTTCGACCTCTTACAATTACAATTTGTTTCATTCAATTCAAACGCCTGCATTGGAAGATTTATTTATGGTCTAATACCACATAGCTCCTATAGATTCAAAGTCTTTTTCGGCGGTGAATTGTTAGAATTTCGTTCATCGGTACTTTCGAGGTGGTTTCAGAAACGAAAATTGTGTAAATACGACAGGCAATATCTACAGTTATTGGTCAAATCGCGACGTCGAATTGGATCTTACAATCTAAAAATGTCAGAGTGCCTTCAAGCATCCAAGCTGCGTCATGAGGAATTCCATTCAGAAATTAATAATCAGCAAAATAAACTTATTTCATTTTGTTTTATCGGTAGATTTTTTCTAGTGAAGATATATTCATATCATGTTATTTATTTCCGGCACGTAAATAATAAATCACACACTAGAGGTCGCCACTATCTACTGAAAAATCTCGTACTTCAACACACTTGGCGAGATGTTATCTGCATGATGCGCCACCTACCGAGAACGTTATGACGTCGTAATTAAGAGCTATTCACATTCTGATTGAGTTATGGTTTCTGTAATAGATAGATAAAGACTTATAGCTTTAAAAGAATCGCTGTTTTAACTTTGGGATTTAAGTTCTACCTCGAAACAGATTCCATTTAATTCGACATTAGTCTTTGCTTTTGTAATTTTCCTTGGAGTTGCATGGGGAAGCCATTATTTTATGGTAACTTTGAACCCCTAATGATTTCCTACTACCCCACTTTACTTTGAAACCGTTTGACCCTGCAAATCTTCATATTGTACGCTGATTCAAGAACTCGATTATTATAAATAAACAAATTTTAATATTGTTTTTTTTTTATATAAAACTAAACATAAACTATAAAACCTAATAAAATCAGACCCTAACAACTTGATGCCGACTCTAGAGTCGTGGCTCCAGTCTACCTCGAGATTTTCTTTAGAAATATAGTTGACCTCTGCCTAGACACCATCTTGGACTGAAATTTGCCAAATGGAAGCACTGTTTGATACTGTCTAAATTTTACGACTTACTATTGGTCAGAACACATCTACAGGATACGCAGGCAAACCTGGCACTCCATTCACGTCATGCCTTTGTGCATGTGCCGATGAAGCATCGGACGAAGAATCGACGTTAAACGTCATCAGTTTATGTGGAGTTTTGTGATCAAATAAGGCAGTATCTCGATATGACGTCAGATCTCTTACGTTGGTCGTTTTTACGCGGTAAAATGAGTGATCACGAATTAGTTTTTCTGTTTTCCCATCATGTTCCAATGATGTGGCTGCTTGGGCTTCCGATTTTATGGCCGAGTTTTGAGTAGAGCTGAGGACTGAAGATTGGATGACTTTGGATTCTGGAATATACAGAAAAAGAGTGGTAAAGAAAAACCAGAGCGATGCGAACGCTAGGATTACAATGGCCTAATTACATCTGTACTCGGTGGATCCTTGCAGCAGGCACAATGCATATGTCGCTTAAAGATTATATATAAGTACCAAACGCAGACGGATTTTTTATGGGAAACATAATATTGTTACAGTAAGGCTATGTCATGTTGATTCGCAGACGCAAAGTATGGCTTCCCGCCAAAACACAAACAAACCAACAGACGTTTAATTCAAATCTTCCGTCTAACCCAGTGCACGTGCTTCCAGCTACACGTCCATGGGGTGCCAGCCACTCAAACCGTTGTGTTTATTTTAAGAATTATTTGATCCTATTTCATTCGTGTATTCAAACCATTGAGAACAATTTCTCACAACCGTTTTCTCAGCAGACGTCCTTATCTCTGCGGTTTCCATATTGTTTTAAAGGGGAGATAAGAATGACCCATGAGGAGATAACTCCGGCTACAGGATATCATTAAAGATCAAAATAATATTGAAGAAATGTGATAAGTTATCTAAATAAATATCTAAAATACAAGTTTAAATAAACTTGGCTAAATTTAGAACTTAAGGCCCTGTTAAAGATACGATGTATTAACTAATATTGGTGAAGAACTTCGCACACACCAAACAAATATACACGGTCTATTTGTAATATTTAATGACTGGACTAACCTGATTTCTCGCTGGTTTTATGTGGACTCCTTTCTTTACTCTTGGGTTTTCTTTTTCGAGTCTGAATTCCATCTTTCTTCATTGCTAAAGGTCTATGAATCTAGATCAAGAAGGATATTTGATTTCATCTGGATTGTTAACTCTCTTTCACGTTTACGTTTCTGGATCCAAAGTCTTAAAGACTGAAAGCACCAATGCTTCAAGCAAGTTTCTGGATACAAAGCTCAAAGTTCAAAGCATCAAAGCTCAGAGCTTCTCTTCTGGTATTATTTCCACTTTCAAGTATGAATTGCTGCTGTTCTCAAGTCACCTTTCCACGTAATTTATTTTTCACAGAGTTTTGGGCATAAATGTACTCCTTTGGCTACAACCAATCAGGTGAAGAGAAATAAATTTGAACTATTTATAGATCTTACCCCATGTAATTTATAATAAAGACCACAGGCATTACAGACTGGTTCTCCTTCGTTGTTTCTTCTCCATAAGGTAGTAGTGCTAGTGTGACAGTTGGAACATGATAATCCCATTCTTCGCGATGCAGACTGGAAGACAAAAATCTCATCAACATATATTCAATAATACATGTTTATAATCCTTAAGCGATTGGGTTAGGGATCACATTAAATACAGGATCATAATTTTATGGTATACTTCCCGTCAGTTTATAGGAGTTAGATATAAACTAGGGTAAAATGGTATGTTTTCCAGTAAAATATGGTAAATTTTCCGCCGTATCTACGGTAAAATACAATGGAAAACCCTCAATCATTGTAAAATACCGTAATTTTAACGTAAATCTTATAAAATACAGTAATTTTACCGTAAATCATTGTAAAATACCGTAATTTTACCGTTAATTATTATAAAATACCGTAATTTTACCGTAAATCATTGGAAAATACCGTAAATATGCCGTAAATCATTATAAAATACCGTAATTTTACCGTAAATCATTGGAAAATACCGTAAATATGCCGTTAATTATTATGAAATACCGTAATTTTACCGTAAATCATTGGAAAATACCGTAAATATGCCGTAAATCATTATAAAAATATCATAAAATACCGTAAATTACCGTAAAATATTCAATTTAAGCTAATAGAACTAGCAAATCAGCAATATAAGATATGTGGACTTTCTGGAAGGAATGCCGAGTTGACAAACAGATCCGCATTAATTGCATCATGGGTTCCTGTACTTACCAAGCGTCGTTGAGGTTTAATCAAAGGGCGGTTGATGCCATTCATTTTGTGATAGAGACCACAAGCATTGCAGAGGTAATGTCCTGTACCGTCGCGTCTCCATAATGGCGTAGATATTGCACCACAGTTGACACACTCTCGACCTTCCAGATCGGCGAAATAATCGTGTCCATCTGCAAAAAAATACATTCGAAAATTCAACAATCAGGGCAGGACAAAAACAATTCACAATATTTGTCAGTTCTCACCATCTGGGTCTATTTTGGGTCAACAGTTTCCGGTTGCGGACTACCGTGACCCAGGAGTGAACGGCAGGGGTCATAACCAGCATGAGTAAAATTATTTTAACCCATGTTCTGTATTTTATAACATGACTGGAATTTTGCTAACATGAAAAATAATATTTTCTTTAATATAACAAAATTAGCTGATTTAAATTTCTTAAAATATCAGATGTAAAACGGAATATAGACTTGGTATATGGTTTGAATATGGGCTAAAGTTGATTGATTCACTTGTGTGCCCCTGTGTGTACCCAGAGAGATCAAAGGGTATTGTAAGGTTGAAATTAAATTGAAATTATAGGAGAAGAGGTCGAGAATGATGTAGATATTTTTAAATAATTTCGTTGTTAAGGAGATTTCAAGATAAACCCAATAATGGCCCGGCCCCAACTCTGATAAAAACTAACACCGTATTGTCATTCCGTCGTCGGTCAGTAACTAACATAATCCAGGTCAAAGGGTCAATATTTCTGTTGCTGGACACGTGAAGGGCTGCTTTTTACCATCAAGCTAGGGTAGGGTAACGATGGTTCCAGTGTAAAGCTAGGCATGACCCAATACCTACGTTAATTTGCTAGGACCCCTTCGCCTAGATGGAAGCTACTCAAACCAGCTTAACCTGTGTATTGTGATGTGATCCCTGGACCGATGTATTTCTTAGAAGGGTAGTTCCAACTCAAGTTGAAAAATAGTGATGATCAACTGGGGAAATGTACTCTAAACTTGGTGTCCCTCTTTCCATCAACAACAGAGACATTTCCCTTACGAAATAGATAAAAGGACAAAGTATTTTTCGTTTTTAATCATTCGAAATAATTCTTTTAAATGATCTTAATACTGAAAATTTTTATTTATCATTTTGGCACGAATAATCAGTTTTAAATTTCCTCTTTATACTTTTAAAAAAAATACAAATTAGATCTTAAATTGTAATTTTGTATTAAGCTAATCTTAACTTTAAAATATTTTCATTCAAAACTGCGATTTTCTTCTCAGTGCCGTGTCTTTGAGTAAAAAACATTTAATTTGAAGATTTAACATTTTGAAAGAAAATAAACACCAATGTTGATTTGATTCGAAGCTAATTTGTGAACCAACGCGTGCTGTTTCTGTGTCGGTAATTTTAGATGTTTCATCTTGTAAACCCACATTTTCCGCCTCGATTCATGTCAAATCAGTCGTGAAATTTTAATTTAAGGTGCTCTAAATACGGACCCTCGAAGAGTAATGCTTAATTCACAAACACTGTCTCAGATTGAGCCTGAAGGGCTACCCATAACATACCGTACAGCAGTTTTAGTAGTGGATTATCAAAGTCTGTTTTTTTGAGTGCGACTGGGAAATTTCAGCATCCTAGAAGTCCTCTTGCTGTGGCCCTACTGCATTTACTGAATCTTGCCCTCGAAGCATTTTGCTATGGGTAGATTTGTATAGGCCCTAATGAACGTCACTTCAGGAGCTTCTTTGCCATGGGGTAGACTTGTATAGGCCCTAATGAACGTCTTTGTTGGAGCTTCATCAAGTTTGCTATGGGATAGCATTGTATAGGCCCTAATGACCGTGACCTCGGAGCTTCGCCCAGTTTGCTATAGGGTAGAATTATGTAGATGATGTACCCACCTGGTCCTGTCCTCCACAATCCGGGCTGTAAAGTCATACTGTTGAATGACGACCACCGATTCAGATCATTCGACATGATATTTGGGTAGTGTGGAATATTTGAAGGGCGAACTAGGCTGTTGCTATAAACTCCCTCTGATCTGATGGATGATGACGTTGACGTCGACGTACTCGAATATCCTAAACGTTGCTGAAACGGCATTGCATAGGAACTGTCATTTTGGTTGTAAGAACCCGGTGCACTTCCGGTTTGTCCACCAAACTGTACTGGCAAAGATGCACGTGGAGTCGGCACGTGTAAAGATGTAGTTCCACTTCCGGTAAAAAGATAAGAACCGGAAGTAGGTGTGGCGTAATTGTGTGGCATTGTCTCTGATTGATACATTTTTCTGTTTGATTCTTCGCTCCAGAATAATTCTTACAGGGATCAATCCAAAACCTATTCAAAGAAATAAATAAAATAAACATTAAAAAGCTTTTTATTTATTTATTTATTTATATTATTTATATTATTTATTTATTTATTTATTTATTTATATTATTTATTTATATTATGTATTTATTTATCTATATTATTTATATTATTTATTTAT